CTTTTTTTAGACGGTGGCCATATTATTTTCCCGCGTCCGCTACAACCAAATCAAAGGCATGTTCTCCGCAACGCAAAGCGGAATTCTCGTGAATGCCTTTGTGCGGAAGGCAGATTTCTACGCCGTGTACCCAGCCGACGCAAGTAACTGAAAAACGCAAGTGAAAAACTCGTGAACCCGGCATTAAGCTCGGATGTCTAACCATCTCGGGTACATTGGCTCCAGCTTGGCTCGTTTTAGTCCCAAAAAGTCGGTAAAAAATATACTAATGTAGTAAAAAGCGATGTTTTAGAAGCCAATAGTATATCGTTATTTCGACAGATAATCACGAAATCCTATTGGTTGTCAGAACATGAGTACACCTCGTAACCTAAGAGTTTAGCGCACTTTTGTTACAACATGGTATACCTACCTCTAATATAATATGAGCCCCGCTTTGACCAAAATAAAAATTTGAACTTACTTTATAATACTATGGCGAATGACGACGGAAATTACGTGTTAAGATATTTATCTTATAAGTTACAAAGCTCTCTTGAATTTATAACGTCTACTTTTCTACAATTATGACCATTATTATTTCGGATATCTATTTTAGACTGGCCTCTCCCATAGCGTTAAAGATAGGTACATTTAGAATTTTTTATTTGTATGGGTATTCACAGGTAATGACACAGGTCGGCCGGAGTCAAGGACTCGGGTTCAAGAACCGGCGCATGATGCCTGCCGTATTATTATTGTTATACAGGTCTACTCTCGAACTCCGTCCGACATCCGTCCGAAACAATTACTGTCAAATAAGCAATACTTGACCCAATGAAAAGTCGCGTGATGCGAATGAAGCTTCATTCTTGATACTTGTCTTTTAATTTTGTCGAATACTACTTATTTGATAGTAATTGTTTCGGACGGATGTCGGACGGACATCGAGAGTAGACCCCCTGCATGGCAGACATCCCGCGCACACACATATTTGGTATTTATAGAACTTACGGTGCCGTGCCTCCAAGTTTGATAGAAAAAATTGGGATTGGAATGACAGCTGGTGCTGCGGGCGCATTCGTCGGCAACCCGGCCGAGGTGGCTCTCATTCGCATGACGGCAGACGGCAGACTGCCGCCAGAGCAGCGCCGTAATTACAAGAATGTCTTCGACGCTCTGGGCAGGTGAAATATGACACGCACCGGTGAACATTCTTCTTATTGTCTCGGTGCTTATTTAATTTTAAAACTATATTGACCGTTATCACTTGATTAGTATCTACGACCGGGATCTTCCCTCGTACAGATGTTTAGGCACCAGGCTGCATGGACAGTGTTGGAGTACTACAATCTTTTTTTTATAATACCAAGTGATGGGACCAGCAAGTTATGGACAGGCATGTCGCTTACCACCGCCTGGTGGTAAGCGACATGCCTGTCCATAACAGTTGTGCCACTTAATCTTAACTAAGGACTTTGCAGTGGCAGTCCACTGCGCCCGTCACCCTGAGACATAAGTTGACGATTCTTAAGTACCTGTAATTTCACCAGCGCCCCTTACCCTTCCAACGCGGAACGTAGTAATGCTCACATTACTGCTTGGCGGCAGAAATATGCAAGGTAGCAGTATTTCTACGACGACCTCTTTCACTAGGAGCTCCACTGCAACTGACTCCAGACAGACTGGCTCTAGAATCCACACAAATTTGATTCAAAGTGTATTCCATAGCATTTAAGTTTATTTGAAAAGAGCAATCCCTAGAGTTTCTTGCTCGTTCTTCTCAGGGAGGTCAGCGCAGTGAAGGAGCAGTAGCTTAAATGTGACGTTTTCAAGTGTAAATATATTTTACCTATGGAATAAATAATCTTTGACTTTGACTTTGACTCAATCATGCATGCAAGTTGGTTAGATGAACATCCCGTTTACCCCCTTTCATGAAAACCCCCATTTAGAAATCTTGTCTCTCCAGCTACTTACCTGTGTGCGAAGTTGATTCAGTGACTTCCACTCTGACCATATCTAGCAGGTATCGCATCCAAGCCGATTTTAAGATTCCTTACCTCCAAAAAGAAAAACAAAACATCACGATTCGGTCCGTCAGTTTGTTTGTAATAGGTATTTTATTTATAGGGTATAGTGCTTTATTTATAAAGCTAACCCACATATTTTGCAATCCTAGACGTTCGTTAGGGGCAAAATGTCAATGATTGTTTGTGTTTATGTATCTGCATGGATCAATAACTCAAGAAGACTGCTAATCTCCATACTATAATAGAGATCGTAGCTTTGGAAAAGGTCAAAATTCCGTCTTACCTCTAGATGGCGCTGATCAATATCCTGGAAGTAGTGTATATTATAAAGGGTGTAAATTTGTGACGGAGCAGCAAGGCCAGCGACCTTACTCGTTGTAGTTATAGGAAAAACGGTTAAAAATTACTAAATATGTCCCTACAAAATGTATGGTAAAATGTTTTTTGCGATTTCTGACATTTCGAGTACTCTTACCTCAGTTGTTCCCATAGAGACTATTGATCCTTACCAGAGGCCGGATCGAATGGTATAAAAAAAGTTTGTGAAAATTGCCTTCTATCTTGCCGACTGTACCATTTTTTCAAAATCTGTGAATGTCAATCAAAATATCTTCAAAATTCATGGATAGTCTTCTAGAACCGTTTTCCTGTAACTACAACGATTAATGTGGCTGGCCGTGCTGCCCCGTCTCAAATTTACACCCTGTATGAATGGCGTGAATATCAATTAATTCCTCTTTAATGTGAAATATAAGAAGTCAGTTTTTTTCCTAGTAATATTATTCAAATATTGATTATGGGCTAAAATTATTCTCTGAACTTTGACAAGTATGCGAGTCAATAGATGGCATTGTGTGTTACAAACTAATTTATAAATTAACGCTTC